AGGCAGACAGAAAGTAAATGATTTGAATCACATAGTTAATAAGTATCTGAGGCTGGATGTGAACTCAGGTCTTCCTGACTCTTGGTCCAGAGCTCTATGTAGCTTACCATCAATCTGCTTCTATGCCCTACTTTCTGGGGAACAGCAAAAGAATCCAAAGAGTGAGGAATAGAGCTGGGAAAGGAGTGAAAGATGAAGACTACTTGGACATTTCCTTAAAATGGAGGCTTTTTGGAGGAACTCACCAAATGGGGAAAGAAAATTTAGAGATGGAGGGATCTTTCAGAGTGAGAAGGCTGCTTGGAATAGTGGAGAAGTTCAGAGAGTCAGAAGTAGAACTGAGAGAGGAGGGGCAAAACAAACCTTGTTTAATCTGCTACCTTGGACAGTTAACTTCATGATGTACCCTTTTTGCCCATACTAACATAAAGCAACTAACATACATATGTGTGCGCGCACACATACACACACACACACACACACACACACTATATATATATATATATATATACATATATATATACATATATATATATATATAAGCACACATGTACATACATTTCTATCATCTATCTGTCTATATTTGTTATTATGAACATTTTGGTTGCTGAAAGAGGCGGAAAAAAAAGACTTTGCATAAGAAACACTGAAGAAATACATCCTCTCAGATGAAAATACTTGAAAGATATAGACTGTTTTGAGGATCTGAGATAAAACTGACCCCTCAGATAAATGCACTGAGAAGATTTGTTTTAAGGCAGATCACTAATTAAGTTAAAGGTGGCTGTAGTGCACTGTGATCAGTCAGCAACTTTACATATGACCATTTTTGAGAGTTATGAGGTACTGAGCTGATAAACTATAAAGCAAATAACTGTTGAGAGGCTATTCATAGAAAAATTATACAGGGTGTCTCAAGACTCTTAGTGTGATTTTGAGTTTTAACAGCTTAAAACCACACTAAAATTTTTGGGATGCCTTGTAAAAGAACTACTGGGGCAATACTTGGTGGGGTTTTTTGTTTGTTTTACATTATAAATTAGAGTCAGGTCACTAAATGGAAAGAAATCCTTATCTGAGGCATTAGAAGTTGCAGGTAGAAGGTGAGGCAAGGAGAGGAATCTCCTAGAAGAATCAGGAAAGGAAGCTCAGGAGGTCAGTACAGAAAACACAACAGGCAATGGGAGAAGTTACATAACAGACAATAACAGAAGGTGCCAGGAGGTGGGCTTACAGGGAAGCTCTGTAGTTGTTTTGCTAGGAGATGTGCTGATTAGAAGAGATATGTTGCTTTGCTGAGAGCTGATTGGAGAAAGGCTAAGTCATCTGTGACCGCTGACTACAATTTCACAAGATCTACAGCTTCTGGAATTTGACTGGAGGAAAGCACAATCTTCTCCTACCTGAATAGCTACCTGTCTTCTAGAGCCTCCTGCAGCCTAGGAAAGGAGAAACACCTCAGCAGTATCTGTTGCTCCTTACTGACTTCTATAGCTTCAGAGAGGGGAAAGGAGAAGGAGAAAGACAACTATTTTAAGCTATCTGGATCTTTTTTGCTAAAAGAATGCAATGCTTTCTCAGAACCTTGTTAAAGGTGGCAATGTGATAGAAAGACTTGACATAACTTCAGCAGTCCAAGATCAGCACAGGAAGTAGCTTTGCCTAACAAGAGAATGTAAAACCAGAAAGAAAGCATATAGCAGGGAGGTGGCTTTGCCCAACTGGTGACTCAGGGTGCAGACTGCTATCTAAAAGTGATCTAAAAAGATCAAGGCTATCAAGCCAATCCAGGGTCATGAATTGCCCAGGGCACATGAGCTTCCTTACTCATATAACTCCCTGTTAGGTTTCTATAAATGTGTGCCCAGTCTCCCCTAAAAGATACTGTGTGCATTATTGTGAGACTCTAATCCATTTTTATGGTTGACATTTTGATTATTGCTGCTTTTGCCTTCCATTGAGTTCATTACGATTATTTCTGTTCTTGTTTTCTATTAAAGGAATGCTATGATTTTTTTCTGGTTTTTATGAGTATTTTTTTCTTTCTATTGAGAAAATACCATGATTATTGCTGCTCTGATTGCGTCAGAGGTATAACCACTGGTTTCATACAAAGAAGAAATCAGGCAATCATTCATTTTTGAGGGAAAGAAGACATTTCCTATGAATAGCCTCTCAACAGTTATTTGCTTTATAGCTTATCAGCTCAGTACCTCATAACTCTCAAAAATGGTCATATGTAAAGTTGCTGACTGATCACAATGCACTACAGCCATCTTTAACTTAATTAGTGATCTGCCTTAAAACAAGTCTTCTCAGTGCATTTATCTGAGGGGTCAGTTTTATCTCAGATCCTCAAAACAGTCTATGTCTTTCAAGTATTTTTATCTGAGGGGATGTATTTCTTCAGTGTTTCTTATACAAAGTCTTTTTTTTCTGCCTCTTTCAGCAACCAAAATGTTCATAATAATAAATATATCCTCAGAGAAACAGACACCTTCATTTACCATTCCTTCCTTCAATTTTTCCCATATAGTTTTGCTTTCTATTTGCTAGTCTGTACAGCAGTGTGCTATGAGGCAAAAGCATTTACTCTGAAGCCAAAGGACTTGGGATCAAATCCTGCCTTTGACAGATACCCATATTACTTTGGACATGTCATTTAACCTCCCTGTGATTGAGCTTTCTCATCTAGAAAATGAGAGGATTAGCCAAGGTGCCTCTGAGGCCCCTTCCAGATATAAATCTGTGGCATTTAACTGACATTCACCATCATCTTTTTATTTTCTAAATTACCTTGAGGGGCAGCTAGGTAGTGCAATGGATAGAGCACCAGCTTTGAAGTCAGGAGGACCTGAGTTCAAATCTGGCCTCAGACCAAACACTCGACACTTACTAGCTGTGCGACCCTGGGCAAGTCACTTACCCCCAGTTGCCTTTAAAAAAAATTAATTAATTAAAATAAAAAATAAATTACCTTGACCATTTTTACTATATACTATTTAAAAAATACACTGAAAACCACATCAATTCCACTTTGGATTTAGCCTCTGCAGCAAAGGAAATCATTCCATCACATTGCCAAGTTTATCTCCACAGATAGAAACTGTTACTTTCTCTCTCTCTCTCTCTCTCTCTCTCTCTCTCTCTCTCTCTCCTCTCTCTCTCTCTCTCTCTCTTTCTCCTCTTTCTATCTCTTTTTCCTTCCTTTCTCCTTTCCTCCTTTTTTCCTTCCTTCCCTCTCTTCCTTTCTTCCTTTCTTCCTCCTTTCTTTTCTTTTTCTTTCTTTTCCTAGTATCTCAGTGTCAGTAAGTCTCTCAGACATGATGAGATAATAAGCATCATTCGATCTATCATAGTCTAATACCCTGGAGTTTCCATCAAGGTGTTTTCTTAAATAGAACAATAGTCTCCCTTTACCCACCTATCTGGAGCCAAAACGATGGCTCATATTGAATAGAACTGAGGTTTAAAATTTGGTTTCAAAAACTTGCCTTTTGTACTCAAGGGATATGAAAGAGATTTGCTAAACCATGAGTCAGATGCTGGGAGGAGGGTAACTGTGTAGATAGACAAAGCAGCCATTATATGTTCAGAAATTTCCCTCGTGTAGCTTTGGGCATTTGAACTTATTCCATTGAGGGGAAGTGACCAGGGCAGTGGGGTGATCCCTGGTTCTTTTTGAAGAATGCTATGGGATCTTTCATTCCCCCCTGGGGACAAGCAGAAGGAACCCTGATTTAATGTCTCCTTTGTGCCAGGGGTAGCATTATTAGATTACCCATTCTCTTCCTTACCCAGTTGCATAATGGTAGCCCAGTTTCTATGTGTAATCTGGCTGACCGTGAAACCCCACTTCACTTTATTTCTGGGGTAGAAAGATTTGTGACAGTTGGCTTTCCCAAGCCAGCAGGGATTCAGAAAGTCGGCAAGTCTGGGGTCTGATCACTCTTAGGTAAGATCCTTTCTGTTCTTTGAACAAGACACACACACACACACACACACACTCTCTCTCTCTCTCTCTCTCTCTCTCTCTTCTCTCTCCTCTCTCTCTCTCTCTCTCTCTCTCTCGCTTTCTCCCCCCCCCTTCTTGTCAGGACATTTTCATTCCTCATGAGGTAAGAGTGAGGGGTGAACAATCTATCCTCATCTACAATTCAGGAATGCCCTTACCCCTCAGTTCCTCTTTTAAAATCAGAAGCTATAAGGGATCTTAGAGATCATTTTGTTCAACCCCACACACCTTCATTTTTATAGATGAGACTCCAAGAGTTTGAGTATTTCCAAAGCCACACAGCTTACTCTCAATTTAATGTTCTTTTCATTTGATCATAGATTTAGAATTTTACAAACCATTGAACCTGCCCCCCTCCCCTCTCAGTTTATAGATGAGGAAACTAAGATACAGAATAGTTAGGTATCTTATGCAGGGTTACACAGCTGGTAAGTGTCTGAGTGAAGATGTGAACCCAAGTCTTTCTGGTTCTCAAAGGAAATGGCAAAACCACAAACTCTACATTCCTCCACCCCCACCCCAAGATCATGGAGTTAAAACTAGAAAGGGCCTTAGAAGTCTTCTAGTCCAATTCTTTCATTTTACAAATGAAGAAACTGAGGCACAATGATGGTAAGTGACTTGCCCAGAATCCCACAGAGCTAGCCAGGGTCTGAAGTGGAAATCATACTAAGTCTTCCTGACTCTAGGTCTAGCACTCTACCCATTACATCATATTTCTTCTATGTATCCTGTGAATGTTTGAACTAAGAGCTGGATTTCTAGATGAGAAAACAAAAGGAACTCCATTCCTTCACCATAGCCATCAAGCTTGCAGAGTGTCTACCAGGAGTATGGAAGAGAAAGGTAACACTACCATTGTGCAAGAAGGTTCTCATCTATTCATGCCTAGACTATTGCAATAGCCTTCTAAATGAGGATTTGGCAAGCCCTCCTGACCCATACACCAAGACGGTACATCCAGCATTTGGTCTTTCTTATTTTGGAGTGTATAAGAGGTGCTACAGACAATGTAAGCCAGGCTAACGGAGAAAAAAGGAGCCTCTATGAACAAGCATGAGACAGCTCAAAGGACATGTTTAATTCCCTTTGTGAACAGCTTAGCAATGGGGTATTTTAACACAGATTAGGAAATCTAACATCACTGGCTTCCAAAAAGAATAACTGAAATCATGATGCAATCAAAACTCAATTATCCATTATAATTGAATGGGAATGGTATGTGTGTGGGGGGGAAACGGGGGGGGGGGAAGTAGATACAGGGCTAGTAAGTGGAGCTAAGCCAAGGACTTTGTGGACCCTAGCCTTGGTTTAAAAATTGTCTTCCCCTGGGAGTTTCTGGCAATCTGAGGTCCTGAGCTTTTGCTGTAAACTTTATGAGATGGCCATCATCATCTCATTAATCTACGGCTGTGATCTGCATGGATTTATACAATTAGTTTCTTGATTCAGCCCCTGGCTAGGAGACTCCACCCTCTTCCCTTCCATGCTATATTTCAATAGACTCAAATCATATGAGCATGGCATCATTGAGTCAGTTCACGCAAGCATGAATTGACTGCATAAGCATGAATTTGCTCATGACCAGTAAAACAAAAGAAATAAAGTTAACTGTATTTTTAAAACTACAGTACAGATGGCACAAGGACAGATGTTCCCAAACCTAGGCAACTGAAAGCAGTCTGAACACGTCCCCAAGCCTAGGAGTTCAAGAAAAGAAACAGTTTAGGTGTGGACTCAAACTTTTCCTTCCCCCTGCTGCAGTGAGAATGAAGGATTAGCCACAAATGAGGTTTTGGCTATCTAGTTACTGTAGGATCCTGCTGGCTCCCCTATGTAGACATTCTTCCCCATATATTTCTCTTCAGGAGGTACAGAGGATATGGGTTCTCATAGGACATAACCAACTGGGGTCTCCCAGTCATGTATAACAGCCAGGGAATAACATTCACGATGGTATCTCGGTGCCATTATCCAGGGTTCTCTCCATTCTTGCTTCTTCTCTTGGCTGTCACGTTTTCTGCCATTTCTGTCCTAGTTGTCCCACTAGCTGTTTAGCTGTTTATGTATTATCTTGGCTTTATGGATGGCACCAACCTGAGGCATGGAGTTTCCAACTCATTCTCTTCTTAGCAACTCCTGTTAAAGCAGAGTATAGAGGGTCATAAGACCTATAGGGAGTAGAAAGTAAAACTCTCAGGAATTCAAAATATGGACAATTATTAAAAGTGTACCTTGTAGAATTTTAGAGCAATAAATAGCAATTTTTGCAACTATGGCAAGTCAAGCATAATGACACCCTTGTTACAAGTGAGTTAGGGGTGGACATGGAGAACCTGGGATACTGCCTAGGAAGATTCTAGGGGGTGTAGAAGACCCCTACATACCATTGGATGTGGGGTAGATTCCAGCATCCTACTGGAAAAGCTATAGGGGAATGGGGCATAGGAGAACCTGGGATATTACTAAAGAGGTTTGGGAGGGTGTTAAATATCCTATGACATTACTGGGTCTGCCAGTTTGAAGGAGAAGAAGATCAAGTCAGGGAGGAGCTCATTGAGTTTTGTTGTTTCTACGTTGCTGAAGGATTACGAGTGCTTACACTTGTACAAAGCCCTGACTGCCCTTACCTAGTTATTGTTCTGGCGAATTGTGCTGCACATTGTATCTGGAGGTTGCTGCTTTGCCCTTTTACCAGATCTGAGAGCAAGGACAAAAGAGATTCACCGATGACTGCAAAAATCTCATGGTAATCATTCATCTCAAGCCCAATCAATTAACAAGCATTTATTAAGCACTTAATATGTATAGACAATGTGCTAAGTGCCTAGGATGCAAAAACTAAAGTGAAATACATCCTGCTCTCAAGGACCTTACATTCTAATGAGGGAGACAACATGTACACATGTTCATATAGATATAATATATAACAATATATTCACTTACATACATATGTATATATACATAGACATGTAGACACATATATGTATGTGTATATATACATACCTATGTATGTAAAATGAATACAAGGTAGTTTGGAAAGGGAATGAACTAGTTGCTAATGGAATCAGGAAAGGTTTCATATAGCAGGGGGTGCTGGAGCTGGGTCTTGGAGGAAATCAAGGATGCTAAGAGGCAGAATTTAGGGGGGAGTGAACTCCAGGCAGGGTACACAGCCCATGCAAATATATGGGGATGGAAGATGAAGGCATCATGTGTGTCAAAGAGTGAGTATGACTGGATTACACAATACAAGAAAGAAATTAATGTGTGAGAAGACTAAAAAGATAGGAAGGGGCTGAGATAGGAAGATATTTAGATGTCAAACAGGAGTTTATATTTGATCCTAGAGGTAACAGGGGGCCACTAGACTTTAATTGAACAAGGAGGAGACGTGGTTAAACTTTGCTTCAGGAAAAGCACCTTGGTGGCATGATGTCATTGGGAAAGCACTCTACTGGGAATCAAGTGACCTCGGCTCTACCTACCTGGGCCTAAATTTTCTCATCTGTAATAATAATAGCTAACCTTGATACAATACTTTAAGGTTTATAAAGCACTTTATATTTATTATCTCATTTGTTCCATAAAATTAGAGGGTTGGATTGGATTGTCTCTGAAGTTACAGATCTATGATTCTATGATTCAAAGTCACCAATCCCTCACCCAACTCTGCTAAAAAGAAGAAACACTGATAGTTTAAGTGTCTGCCCTGAGGAAGACTACATCCTCATTAAGCATAAAGGATCAGATCAAGAAAAATCTTTCAATTAGGTAGAGTTTCTCAGCTAATAGAAGGTTTATCCATGGTATGTTGCCAAACAATGCTGTTCTTTTTTCACTATGTCATTCATACAAGCAGGCCTCTCTCTGTCACCTGGCCACCTTCCAGTAACTCCCTCCCGCCCCATACTGAAACTTGTTTCTAGGAAGTGAGTTTTCCCCCCAGGTTTTCCAGGGTCTGCCTGGGGACACAACAGTTCAGGCTTCAGCCTCTTTTTAAAAAGAGAGAAGCAAGAAGTAGACTGTGAACTCATAGGTACCTCATATTCTCAGCCCCAAACATCCTCATTTCCTGTCCTATGACTTCTCAAATGCCAAAATCATTTACGTAAAATGCAGACCAAGTGATGGTGTACTAATTAACCCAGACCTTGGATCTGATCCAGAATCATAAGCCCTAGATCAATAATTACTGATTAGGAAAATGGATGGAGCAAAAGGCAGATGAGGGTGAGGATCAACAATATTGACTCTGGGAACCCACTATCCCGTCATTGTTATTTGATCAAAAGTCTGGCCTGCTGGTAGAACCAGTGAGACATGGGGCAATGCTCTTTCATATGTGTCCTTTTTTCCCTCCCCATCCTTTTCTTGTTCCAACATTATTTCTATCCCTGCTGACCAGTTTGTGATCCTCTTCTTCTAGTCTGTTTTATTTTAATACAAAATTTCATGCCAAGGAATGCCAGCTATACATGTAGGTGAAATAGATTGTGGTCTGGATGTTAATTGAAGGTTATGGCTAAAAGACCTCCCCATTACCTCAAACATCTCCCCATTTGTCTTGCCATGATATCTGGGACTACTATATTACTCTTTCTTTAGGACTGACATTGAAGTTCCCCATTAAAATACAAATACATTATTTAAGAGTCCTAATGCATTCCACTATCACAACATAATATGAATTAATTGATCTGATTAGCCAAGAGTTGGGCCCTAAAAGGATAGCACACTTGACACTTAATAGAAAGAAGGGTCAGAAAAGATTCACTACAGGGATAACTCTTTGAGAGAATTCTTTCAACTGAATTCTAGAGATAAACTACTATAGTTGCCACAGCTCTATAAATAATAAGTGACAACTACATAAATTTTTAAAGTTTACAAAGTACTTTACATATATTATTTCATTGTGTCTCACAACAGTAGTTGTGTACTACAGAAATTAACCTCATTTGACAGATAAAGAAACTGGAGATCAAGGCTTGTCCAAGGCCACCTATAGTAAGGATCAAAGGTAGGAGTCAAACCTAAAATGTCCTAACTCCAAGGCCCATGCCCTCTCTGCTGTGTCACATTGCCTCAGCACCAGAAATAGCAGGAGCTACTTGCTTTGTGTCATGTTTCTTTCCTTTTCCTTTTTTTATTCTTCTCTATGTCTCTCATCTCTACCACACTTCCAAGTCAACAATCTGACATTCTGGCATTTTAAGATTTTGGTGATGCTGTTCTATAAGCATAATGCATAAGATGATATAATATCATGGAAAGAGTGCTAGACTCAGAGTCAGACAACCCTTATAAGATTCCTGGCTCTGTCTTTTCTAGCCATGTGATCACAGACAAATCTTTGAGCCTCCATGTTCTCATTCATAAAATGGGCATCATAATGTTTATAACACACATTTTCCAGAGCTGTTGAGAAAGATGCATTTTGTAAACTAAAAAAATATCATATGAATTATTTATTGTATGTTTAGGCTTCTATTGGAAGGATAACAGTGAGACTCGCTGCAAAGTGCCATGGTTGCTAGGAATGGGCATGATGGATCACCAAGGGGTAACATGAAGACATTAGACACCTTGGGGAAGAGGGAAGAAAGGTTAGATGAAGGAAAAGAGAAGGAGAAGGAAGAAGACCAGTTTTGCCTGAGCTTTGCTTATTTAAGACAAGCCCTGTGGCCAAGTCTCTCAATCCGCTATGGTTAAGGACCACATTAGGAATGTTAAGTTGGGACCACCTTGGCACAAACTCCCTAGGTCTTTTATGGTCAAAGGAAAAGAAAATTAGTCCGGCTTTGAGAAGCACTAGATCCCTTGAAGGGGCAGCTAAGTGGCTCAGTGGATAGAGTGCTGGGCCTGGAGTCAGGAAGTCTCATCTTCATGGGTTCAAATCTAGCCTCAGACATTTACTATGTGACCCTGGGCAAAATCACTTAACCTTGTTTGCTTCAGTTTCTTCACCTGTCAAATGAGCTGGAGAAGAAAATGGCAAACCACTCCAGTATCTTCGCCAAGAAAACCCTCAATGGGGTCACGAAGAGTCAGTCATGACTGAAAAATGACTCAACAACAACAACAACAACAAAAGAGGCCTTGAAGTCAACACTTGGAAATTCGAAAGGGAAAAGAGACCCACCTCAAAGCGAGAATGGCCTTCTGTGATCTAAAGACAAGGGAAAGCAAGGCCTTCCTGCACCAAGAGGCTTCCTCCTCGCCCAAGCACACGTCAAAAGGAAAGAATTTGCATGTGATTCCTATTATAAGGGAAAGATGGTTTTCTCACAAGCTCATGAGGGCCCATCAAAATGTTAAATTTGGCTAAAATCATTTCTTGCTTTATGAATTCTCTCTCTAAATACTTCTGTGGTAAAGTTTGATTTGCATGTTAGGTGGTTTAAAAAAACAAAACCAAAAAACTTCTTTGCCTCCCTTCAGAAGAATTAGTTCCACTCACTTCAACACAATGAGGCAACCCTCTGAAATCTTCAAGTGAAAGGGCATTGATTTATATGGAATTAATTCACTCAGCACATATGGGCCATACCAAGACCCCGTGGGTTTGTGGGAAGTAACTGCCATTTTTACACTAGGCAACACTGACTCTTCAAAAGCATAACCAATCCTCCAGGCCACAGGATTGCCTCCCCTTTCCTTTTTAATTCCCCCCATATACACTTCTTATTTCTGCTTAGGATTCCTCAGGTTCTGTGCCCCATCTTCAAAAAGATTTCAATTTGTTTACCAAGATGTGCACCAGTTCCCTTCTCAGCCTCTTTTCCCCAACAAGCAACCACAATACCAACATGTCTGGACAGTGGCTGTCATGGAAGCTTTTGGGGTGCCAGGATAGATGGGCTACCCCATCCATCCCTCTCAACCAGGGGTTCTTGACCTTTCTTATGTCATGCACCACTTTGGTGAAGCCTATGGACTTCTTCTCAGAATAATGTTTTTAAATGTGTAAAATACAATACATTGGATTACAGAGAAAACAAAATTATATGGAAATAGAGTCACTGGAATTTTTTTTTTAAAAAGGAGATCAAAGAATCTCTAAGAGTCTCCACCTTCCCTGACAAAAACACACTCAGGCCCACAGAAGCAACTCCAGAAAAGATGCCTCACTCAGA